CCTCAGCCTTCCAAGTAGCCGGAATTATAGGCACACGCTACCACGCCCGGCTGATTTTTTAATTTATTGTAGAGATGAGGTCTCGCTGCCCAGGCGGGTCTCGAATCCGCGGGCTCAGGCAATTCACTCACCTCAGCCTCCCAAAGGTGCGGGTTTACAGGCTGAGCCACCGAGCCCGGCTAAAAAAAATAGAGTCTTTAAAAGAGTAGCCTTTTCTCAAATTCAGGGAGAGAAAAGGGTAAGAAAAGATGCTTGAGGAATACTTTCCAAGTTGGGGGGAAATGAGTATCCTTAGCTGACATGGGCACAAGTGGAGTCCAAACAAGTCAACTGGAAGTAACCTGGATGAGCCAGTCCGAATAAAGGTCAAATTCTACCAGGAAGGTCTGTATCTACCATGAACATGGCAACCAGAGGGCATACATACCAAAACTGAGTAACCTGATTGTGATGCAAACTCTGGTTTATAGTCACGCCTGAACTGTGAGGACAAGGATTTTTATATTCACAGATGCACCTAACGCAAAGCCTGCCCGTAGTGGATGAACAAAAATACTGCAGAACGAGTGGACATAACCTGCCCCTTTCCCATTATGCGCTCTCAAATTCCAAAGCTTGGCTGCACACATGAACCAACTGCACACACTGCTACCACATTTGTGGCATGCTGGGGTACACAGTAGGAGGCCTTGTCTCTGTTTATACCTAGGGCAGAATCTTAATCCTGTCCCACCCAGCCCCCACTAGCAAGTCAGACAGACAGTGCCCCAAGCCCAATGACCAGCCATGTCTTTGAATATACACAAACACCAGGAAAGGTTAAGGAATTTTCTTTATTTTTTACAAATTAAGACTATGTAGATTTTATATATTTCTGAATCGAAAACACCTTTGTCTTCACAGTATGAGTTAGAGAATGCAGCCTGAGCTGAAAATCAAACTAGAAAAGAAAGTGGTAATTACAGTGATAACTGTATTAAAAAAATCTGTTAAGCATTTTCTTTAAAATTAGTTTTTTTTTTAATATCTTGTCATTCTTGGCACTGTTTCTAAAGAAAAACTCCTTTATCCCAAGCAAAAAAGCACAAGAAGTGGAGTTTGGCTTCAAATGATGTAACTCAAATTCTCAGGCCTGGCAGAAAATCATCAAATGTATTGAGCATAACTAACGAGGGTTAATTAGAAGGAAGTCCCTTTAGAAAGTTCTCAAGCCAGAGACTGGAGGCAGCAGGTAAATGAGGGCATCATTCTCAGTGGAAGTGAGCCATTCTGGGTGGCATGCCACTCCAGGAATACACATAGCCTGGAAACCAACAGTTTCATGGGATGGCATGGTGACATGGCAAACCAAGAACCTGTAGCCACCATGCCAATCATGGACTGGCTGTGAATGGGAGAGCCACAAGTGATGTCCTGCTGGTAATGAGCTTTTTCAGTGGTTCAGTCTCCTCACCGAAGACGTGCCAGATGTGCAGAGCCACAGTCAGCTCGACACTGTCTTGCCATGCCAGCTGGCAGTGGGAGCCCACAGGGAAGGAGCTGGAGATCCCCATTAGGGCTGCCCACCCACACTTGAAGCCACAAATCTCTTGCTGGTTTGGTCACCTGGCTCCCAGCTAAAAGACTAAAAATTTCTAGAAATTGGTGAAAGGACCAAACACTATAAAGTACAGGAGTAAATGAACACTTATCTACTGCCCCGAATCTCTGGTCTGATACTACCTATAGTGATTAGGTAGGGCTAAAGATGCACTGAAGGACAGTTAATAACGCACCCCCCAAGTTATTGCAGCCCAGCTCTGTTGATCTGAGTAGGGAGAACCACTCAGCTGGTAGAGGAGATTCTGCCCCCTACTGCCTCAATCAGGTCCTTATCTAGGTTTGTCTGGAAGGATTGGTTATGATTAGCTTCAGAGGCTCAACCACTTTCCTTCCCTATCCTTCCCCTCTAGGGACACTTAATCTTAGTCACATGGCGGAGGTCTCAGTAAAGTGATAACCAATTAAAAAACAGGAAGTCTGGGAACCCTATTCTATACCTTTTCATACATAATCAGCCTTTTCATGAATGCCCGAAAAAAATTCGCCTTCCCTTTATGCTGAAATCCTCCTACCCATGGAGAAAGCAGGCAGATTCCCCGAGGGTCAGGGCAAGGGGTGGAAAGGGAACACACAAATCCACATCTCCTTGGGAAGCCAAGGTAGAAAGGTGTGTTGGCCAGAGCAGCCTGAGCAGCTCTGAGGAAGCAAAGCATCCACCAGAAGAGGCTCTTCATTTTCTTTGTAGGGGCTGACAGCTCGGTTCTACTGAGCCCGAGTTAACAGGAGGATCAGTGAACTTCTTTGCAATGGAAATCACTGCAGGACAGTGCATACACCAAACAATGCTGAGGAAAGGCAGGCTGAGGTGGCTCTACGGAACAGTTCAAGTCCACTTGGTGAAGCATGGTGGGAAAGCAGATTCCTGGAGTTAGCGAACTCTGCTGGTCCTACACCTCGTCACAAGGACCAGCTGCCTGAGCAGAGGAAGAGCTATGGGTGGGGTTGACAGCAAAGGGAGCAAGGAGAACCCCAGGACGAAGCCAAACTCCAAACTATATTCTGCTAATCAGTTTTTTGATCAAAAAATTCAAAACAGAGAACACCACAAAGTACAAAAGCTTTTCTGATGCTTTTCATTATCACAGAACACGCCACCTGTTGTGTGTGCAGAGAGGAAACGAGGGGTAGAGGGAAAGGAAGCCACATTGGGAAAGGCTAGGCGGTCATTTCATTTCTTCTCTTTCTTCTTGTCCTAGAAGTAGAGAAAACAATCACCCACTTAGTTTCTGGGGTCTGACACTGAAGCTAAAACTCCTGAGTGAACCTTTGTTAGAGACTGGAAGGGATCCAGACAATAAAAAGGAATGAGAAACACTGCCTTAACTACCTGAAAACCGAATCTTGACCATCTTCTAGTGGTCAAAGTTGCTGACAGACTTGGTGAAAATAAAGGTTAACAACTGTCCCCACCTCAGGAGTACCTGGGTAGGCTGGCTGACCACTCTTGGCTACACACAATCACCAAGTGCAAATCCCAACCAGTGACGGCTGGCAACAGGCACTCTATCCTAAAAGTGAGAAGACAAGACCAATTTTCCATTCAGCATGACATGTGCTCCACCCTAGAGGGTGAGCTTGAGTCCTCAGTATAAACTGACATTCAGAAGTAATTCAGTCTGGTGGAATTCTTCAGTCTTAGGTGGAAGCCCAGTGTGTTAAAGGAATACAAGCTGAGTTGCTTAATGAGAAACTGGGGCACCCGCTTGGTGCTCAGCCCAGACAGAGAACCAGCAATCCCATCTGGTCATCTGCTCCACTACCACTGCACTGTCTCTTGTTCCTCAATAAAGTCTAATGAAGAAAAGCTCAAGGTTTCATTTGTTCTCCCTACCGGTGGATTAGGCTATGTTTGATATTCATTAACCCTACACAGAATGCTTCCTTGGAAAAATAATAAGACTAACAAATGAAGAAAATTAGCCTACTTCTGAAATTTACAAAAATTGGCTGCCAATATGATACAATGACCTCTATAGTATCCTCTCCTGAGTCACAACTTTACAGCCTTTAAATTCTTCATATAGTAGGATGTGTCCTACTGGCAGTGAAGCTCTTTTCTCTTTGATACTAATCTTAGGGTTTAGTTTAAAAAAAGAATAAAACTTGTTTTTACTTGTTCCTTTTTCTCCAGCAACTTGAGACTTCTGGTTTACCTCTTAGTGAGTGGCCTGCCTTATAGTTACCCTGGACCTATACAGCATGCAAGCAAGTTTGCAGATCTGAAGTATAGACAGATGCCAAGCTCAAGAGCCATCCTCTCATCTTCGGCTGTAGGTTAACTGACCTTCTCATTCATAGCCAGGATCATCATGAGTTTTCTGAAGAGGGTAATGAAATCTAAGAAGAGGTCAACACAGTGCCTGCAAGGCAAAAATCGGGTTAGGATCTGTACTTCTTTCTTTTCTCCCCAAGCCCACAAAGATAAACCCCAACCCTGGTTTCCACACTCCACCCACAGCTAAGGAAGTAAAACTCTGGTGTCTGAGATCCTTTTCAACTCACTGAAGTCATGTAGCATAGACAAAAGAGAGTGGGCTTTGTACGCTGCAGAGGCCAAGTCTAAATCCTGATCTACCACTAAATAGTTATGAGCCTTTGAAAGGACTACATTTTTAAAAATGTATATCTTGCCAGGCATGGTGGTTCATGCCTGTAATCCCAGCACTTTGGGAGGTAGAGGTGAGAGTATTACCTGAGCCCATGGGCTCAAGACCAGCCTGGACAACATGGTAAGACCTCGTCTTACAATAAATCAAAAAATCAGCAAGGCATAGTGGTGCACGCCAGTAGGTTCCAGCTACTTGGAAGGCTGAGGTTGCAGGATTGCCTGAGCCCAGCAAGCCGTGGCTGCAGTGGCTGTGAGCATGCCACTGCACTCCAGCCTGAGTGACAGTGAGACTCCTAATCAAAAAGAGAATAAAATAAAAATAAAAATGTATATTTTCTCACTGTTTAAGGTTTAAAGAATATAGAAATATAAAAAGGAAAAGAAAAAGGTCCCTTTCTCTCTCCTCTGCCTGTAAGTAGTAACTATTAAAATTATGAATGCAGCCTTTGGGAGGCTGAGGTGAGTGGATTGCCTGAGCCCGCGGGTTCAAGACCCACCTGGGCAGCGAGACCCCATCTCTACAATAAATGAAAAAAATTAGCCGGGCTTGGTAGCGCATGCCTGTAATTCCGGCTACTGGGAAGGCTGAGGCGGAAGGATTGCCGGAGCCCAGCAAGTCGAGGCTGCGGTGGCCGGAAGCGGCCACTGCACTCCAGTCTGGGCGACAGAGTGAGACTCCAACTCAAAAAAAAAAAAAAAAAAATGAATGCATAAATATATTAGTCCAATCTTTTCCTTCCTTCTTTCCTCCCTACCTTCTTTCTTCCATTCATTTTCTTAGAGTTGGAGTCTCAATTCTGTTGCTCAGAGCTCACCTCAGTCATGATATCCTGGGTTCAGGCAATCTTTCCATCTTAACCTCCCAAGTAGCTGGGAATACAGGAATGTGCCACTATGCCTGTATTATTTTATTTTATTTTATTTTATTTTTAGAGACAAGGTCTCACTACACTACATTGACTAGGTTGGTCTCAAACTCCTGGCCTCAAGCAATCGTCCTGCCTTGACCTCCCAAAGTGTGGGATTACAGGTGTGAGCCACTGAGACCAGTCCTCCAATTTTTAAAAACCTGAGTTCGTTCAGGAATTGAAGGAGACTATGGTGCACAGTTCCAAGACCATGAGTTTTCACTCATGTATACTTCCAAAGCTCGACCACGTGTGTTCACCAATGCCAACCTAAGTTCAGTCATGGAATGGAATGGATGCCTCACCCTTCATGCTCTAAAGACCAGTTCTCACACTCACCAGATATAATCCTTATCTCCGTTTTCAGCCTTTTCAATAATGAGTTGAGTATCAAAAAGGACAAAGCCACACATGACCACCAGCCCCAAATACAGGTTTGCCTAACAAGAAAAGAATGAGATGAAGTTACCATACAGTAGAAATTGTAGAGAAAAAAAAAACCAGTCATACTTTCTGGCTGTTGTCCACTTGAAAGTATATCAAATGCTAACCCTATAGACATTAACATTTATAGGAACTGCAAACTATGAAAACCATATTATTTCCCTAGATATAATTATACATTCATTTTTCAGGTCACAGGAAGAGTTTCAACCATTATAACAATTAGCCACTGCGGGACTGGCCTTAAGAACTGACTGAGCAAACCATCTTTTCTTAGCAATGTCAGCTATGAGACAACTATGTTTAGCCTGTATTTTCACCTGTGAGAGAAGGCCCCACCCTATGAAAGTTAAGTGGGAAGGCTTGGAGAGCACTGTCCAAAGAAGGGCATAAAGAAGCATGAAAAAAAAATTATGAGGCAAATGGCTGCTGGAACATTCTATGCAAAGTGTTACCTGGAAAAGCCAAATGGATCCAAAGAAAAGGTTCCCCAAGGAAGACAGGAGCATCAGGCTCATGGCTGACATCAAGATACCTATAAGACAAGGCAAAAAGTTATTCTGAGAGAAGCCAAAGTGAAGGAAAACAATCCCATTAAGACCGTTCATTCCTTTCCCCAAAATGAAGACTCTTTATGTCAACCCAATAGTCACAAGAGAGCTGGGGGTGGGGAGAGAATCCTCGTGAGAATTCTGGCCAAAGCAGAGCCTCACTCCCAGTCAACACTTACCTCCCAGAAACAGGTAGCTACGGCGCCGGGCATAGAGCGCACTCAGGGTGAAGCAGGTGAAGATCATTGCTGTGCCCATGAAGGCAGTGGGAAGGATGCTGTTCAAGAAAAAGACCACTAGGTTGAGACTACAGGCAAATAGCCAATATTTAGAAGGTGTATTCATAAAGGCAAAGAGATATAAAAGACACTAATAAAACAGTTACCTGGGGTTGATGGCAATGCACAACTCCAGGGCAGGACCCAGGCCAACTCCTAGAAAACAAAAAAATCCCAATACAATATATATATATATTTTTGAGTTAGAGTCTTACTCTGTCACCCAGGCAGGAGTGCAGTAGCACACTCATGGCCACCCCAGTGTTGACCTGCTGGGCACTGGCGATCCTTCCGTCTCAGCCTTCCAAGTAGCCGGAAGTACAGGCATGTAGTTACGCCCAGTTAATTTTTTATTTATTGTAGAGACAAGGTCTCGCCAAGTTGCCCGGGCTGCACTTGAACCCCTGGAATCAGGGAATCCACTCGCCTCGGCCTCCCAAAGTGCTGGGATTACAGGCTGAGCCACCAAGTCCAGCCCCCAATACAATATTATCATCAAATCTTGAAGAGGTCCTCTATCTAAACACTGATCACTAACAGCACAGGAATGCTCATGCTCCTAAAAAAAAAAACATCTGGACGAAAGTAATTAATTCTCTCTTCTCCTCAATCTTCTCAAGAGAATGTATACTTGACGTATTTATTTATAGACCTAGCTGCAAAACTGTCCTCTTAGCTGAAAATCATGGGACTACCCCCCGACACTGAACATAAATTAGAAAACAACGAAGCAGCCATGCCAAACACTCCTGAGCTAAAGTGATATGAGACTGCAAAGCAGGCCAGAACAGAAATTAAAACAGAAAAAAAGGATAAAGAATAAAGCAATGCTTTGTGACCAGCAACCTTGCAGTCATGCAGGACTGACTCCCACTGTAGCAAAGAAAAGCCAGACAGGTTCTGCAGATGTTCACCTGCCAACAGGAGTGCAACTTGTTCTGGCTCCTCCAGCATTTCTCTCTCTCTGGTTACTTTCCTTTCTCCTTCTGATAATTCTACCCCTTAAATGCCTTCAAAAACTAGCTTGCCTTGATCCAAAAGTCTTAATCCCTAAATCCCTTCCTTTCTAAAATTTCTCCAACATTGAGTAGATTAGATTGCCATTCAGAACAAGCTGTACTAACTCAAATGATGCTTTGCAAATATTTTTATTATGTAGCTTGAGTATGGCTTCCTTTAATGACAATTCTAGAAGAATTGTGTTTTGAATTATTTTCTTTTCTTTTCTTTTTTGAGTTGGAGTCTCACTCTGTCACCCAGAGTAGAGTGCAGTGGCCGCTCCCGGCCACCACACCCTCGACCTGCTGGGCTCCAGCGATCCTTCTGCCTCAGCCTTCCAAGTAGCTGGAACTATAGGCGCGCACTACCACGCCCGGCTAATTTTTTGATTTATTGTAGAGATGAGGTCTCACCAAGTTGCCCAGGCGGGTCTCGAACCTGCGGGTTCAGGCAATCCACTCACCTCAGCCTCCCAAAGCGCGGGATTACCGGCTAAGCCACCAAGCCCGGCTTTGAATTATTTTCTTGAGAATCAGCAAAGTATTCTATATGGTGGATTTCAATGCATGGTTTTAATTAACTGTTTACAAGACTCAGAACAGAAGCTCCTATGAGAGTTACAAGTATGGGTCCAACTAAGTCAGATTCCCAGGCCTAGTTTAATACCATGTCTACTGTTAACAAGTTACCTAAGCTCTTGAGCCTCATTCATTCAAACATACAATGCCTATTTTGGGACACAAAATAGAAGTCACAGTTGCTAGTCACAAAGACTATACAAAATAAGAAAGCAATACAAGGCAAAAACACACTCAAATATAGTAGTTCCCCAATATCAAAGGGATATGTTCCAAGACCCTCTGTGGACACCCAGAACCTCAGATATACTTTTGTTTTTTTTCCTATACATACACACCTATGATAAAGTTTAATTCATAAATTAGGCAAAGAGATAAACAATAACTAATAATAAAATATAACAACTGTAATATCTTACTGCACTGTATCTCAAGTAACTGAAACCAAAGAATGTGAAACACAGATAAGAGGAAACTATTAAAAGAAACCAGAAGGGAGAAAATTACAGCAGAGTGAGATACCTCAGGGAAGACCACAAAGAGTAGTATTCTGAAGGAATTGTACAATTAGAACAGGCAGAGAAGAAAGTATGCCAATTAGGGTAAATGAGAATATAGATGTCCTTTGGTATCCTTGGGGAAATGGACCCACAACAAATATCAAAATCCACAGATGCTCAAATCCTTTACATAAAATGGCTCAGTATTTGCATATAACCTACACAAATCCTCCTGTATACTTTAAATCACTTCTAGATTACTTATAATACCTAATACAAGGTAAATGTGATGTAAACTGTGGTTATATTGTTTTTTTAAATTTCTACTATTTTTTATCATTATATTGTTATTTTTTTATTTGTCTTCCCCAAATATTTTTTGACCTGTGGCTGATTGAATCTACGGTACATAACCTGCTTATTCAAAGGGCTGACTATAAATACAAATCTCACAATTTAGTCTAAAGAGATACTAGATATATAGCTCTCTCCCTTCCCTCCCAAAATTAGACCAATACCTGTAAGGAAACACACCTGTAAGGAAAGCAAATCCAGCAAGAAGTCCCAGTCTTTTCTGCTCCGTTTCATGGTTATGAGGTGTTGCCATCAGCCAAATCATCAAGCCCAGGGAGCCCAAGGCAGAGAGCAACCCAGCCTGTCAGATCCAGGGTCAATCATTAGGCATTTGAAAGCTTCACATTTATTTTACAGGCGATGACCTCTATTAGGTTCAAATACTCATCTAAACTTCCTAATATTTGCTTCTAAACTGGAGGTAGGGATGGGGCTGAGAAGAAAAACCAGAAGACTTTAAACACAAAGTTAGGACCATGGTGGATGCTGGGATACTTGGGTAGTCCCTCAACTGCATACAACTACCCAAGTCAAACTATGATAAGTCTTGCCCAAGAAACAGAATATAGATGAGTCAAAGTAATAAGTACTTTGAAGCACATGCCACCTCTAAAACAAGTAGAAATGACCCCTTTTTGAGAGCACTAAAAACAAAAACAAACAAAAAACCACCAAGATATATACATATTCATATACAGATAAAAAAAAAAAAGAGTGAAAAGTACCAAAATGCCAAAAGTAGTCATTTCTGGGTGATGAGATTACGGAGGTTTTGTTTTTTTTTTGAGTTGGCGTCTCACTCAGTCACCCAGACTGGAGTGCAGTGGCCGCTCCCAGCCACCGCAGCCTCGACATGCTGGGCTCCAGCGATCCTTCCGCCTCAGCCTTCCAAGTAGCTGGAACTACAGGCCCGCGCTACCACGCCCGGCTAATTTTTTTGATTTATTGTAGAAACAAGGTCTCGCCAAGTTGCCCAGGTGGGTCTCGAACCCACGGGCTCAGGAAATCCACTCACCTTGGCCTCCCAAAGCGCGAGATTACAAGTTGAGCCATCGAGCCCGGCTGGTTTTTTTTTTTTTTGAGTTGGAGTCTCACTCTGTGGCCCAGGCTAGAGTGCAGTGGTACACTCCCAGACACCGCAGCCTTGACCTGCTAGGCTCTGGCGGTCTTTCCATCTTCCAAGTAGCTGGAACTACAGGCGTGCACTACCATGCCTGGCTAATTTTTGATTTATTGTAGAGAGGAGGTCTTGCCAAGTTGCCTGGGTGGGTGTCAAACCCATGGGCTCAGGTAATCCACTCGCCTCCACCACTCAAAGTGCTGGGATTACAGGCTGAGCTACTGAGCCGGGTCATGGATGTATTTTTAAAAAATATTTTCCAGCCAGGCTCGGTGGCTCAGCCTATAATCCCGCGCCTTTGGGAGGCTGAGGTGAGTGGATTGCCTGAGCCTGCGGGTTCGAGACCCGCCTGGGCAACTTGGCAAGATCTCACCTCTACAGTAAATCAAAAAATTAGCTGGGCGTGGTTAGCGCACACCTGTAGTTCCAGCTACTTGGAAGACTGAGGGGGAAGAATTGCCGGAGCCCAGCAGGTGGAGGCTGCAGTGGCTGGGAGTGGGCACTGCACTCCAGTCTGGGCAACAGAGTGAGACTGCAATTCAAAAAAAGAAAAGAAAAAAGAAAAAGACATTTTGCTTTGTTTTGTTTTTTATTATTTTATTTTATTTTTTTTTTTTTGAGTTAGAGTCTCACTCTGTCACCCAGACTGAAGTGCAGTGGCCGCTCCCAG